TTTTCCAGCTGCCCTTTGAAATCTTCGGTTCAGCTGTTTTTACTTCATCATTTCTTACATTTGTTTTAGCAACTCTAGGCTGAAGAACAAATTTCAGAATCTCTTCTGACATCCATTTTGATATTTTCTTTCTTTCCTGTCTTTTTAATAACCGTTTGCTTTCTTCTTGTATGATGGTCTATTCTGATATCATATTACAGCTCTTCAGCTCTTCAGCTATCAGTGTTTAATGCATCAAATCTGTTCTGGTATGATCTCTATCTAAATTCAGGTAGGATAGACTCAAGGTCTAATTTGGACTTTTAAATTTCCTTCCGCTTCAACTTGAACTTAGTCAGTCCTGGCTTTGTTTTGGCTGCTGATAGTGTGTTTCTCCATTGTCTCTTTCCACCAGTGTAGTCTACCTATATATTCACTGTTTTTGTTGTTGAAAAAAGGTAATGAATAAGTCACTGGTCTTGAAAAATTATATCATGCAATCCCTAGTATTGTTTCTATCACTAAAACTATATTTTCTAACTGTGCCTGAACATTTTTTTATTATTATTTTTATACTAAAAATAATTTAATTGTACACTTTAAATGGGTGGAAGTATGCGTATTTCAATAAAGCTGTTACACAAAAACAAGCAAACACCAAAACAAACACCCCCTCTCCCCCCAGAAGCTCAAAGCTTTCCAATGTCTACTGTGGGTCCTTGTTGAGGGGAGAAGTAGCAGTATGAAGGTACATGGGGTCAACACTCCCTTGTAGCAGTCATAAATCATGCTTGAATTATTCACTTGAGGCCTTTCCAAATCACATTGGTGATATGAACTCCACTCTGACATGGTATGAGGGTCAGCTGTGGCTGCATACTATTGGGAAAACTGTTCCACTTCCTATCTCTGCTTACATCCAAAACCAAAGCTAAGGGGACCCAGATTTAAATAGGAGGGGTTTTAGGTCTGACTTCATACTTTGTAAGTGTCTTACGGTTGGTTGCCTACCCCACCCCCAAGGTGGTCCACCAAAAAAGTAATTGTAGGCCCCCCACAAATCCCACCAAAAAGCAGAATAAAATGAGTGGTCCCAATGTTAGGAATGTTTATAAAGTGACTCTTGCCTATAGTTCCAGCCCTGGGAGCCATCAGCAGACTCTGTGGCCCTCACTGGCCCGTTCCTCTGTACCAGTCATCAGCTGAAGATAATGGAAGAAGAGGGACAAGTGAAGTGCTGAACTGGAACCAAGCAGAAGCAGTTTGGCATGGAAGGCATCCAGGCGGCTTTTCCTACATAAAGGCAGCCCAAGAAACTTCTAGCCTTCTCGGAGCCAACCTACTTTAAATGCAGCTGTGATATTGCCCTAGGCCACGAGAAGAGGCCAAACCCGAGAGCTGAAGACAGTTCTTTATTACTCTTTGCTCCAGGGTTGATGTCTTCTGTCCTTGCCTGCATTTCAGTGCCTATTTTGACTCAAGAAGCTCTCCAGCTTATTGTGTTTCAGCGCCTTGAACTTCTCAGCTAGGGTCAACTGACGCTGCTCAGATTTCTTTAAGAAGTATGGCTGATGCTGGGCCTGAGCCCGCTGCTCCTTTTTCAGGACCAGGTGTAGCTCCTGCTGCTGTTTTTGAGCCTGCTGTGCCATTTCTTTCTGTTCTAAATGCTGAAGCAGCAGCTGCAATCTCTCATAATGTTCTCAAACATCAGAACGGTATTTCCTTAATTGCTTTTTCACAATCTCTTTCTCTTTGGCTCAAATATCATTCAGGAATTGATATGGTTTGTCTAGCACCTCAGGATTATATTCCCCTGAGAGATCATTAAAGTAGGAGTCCCAGGCCACATTCTTACGGACAGGGACAACTTGACACAAAAATGGCACCGGTGCCTTGTGCGACATTTTCAGAGGCTTGTTCATCTGCAACACAGCATTTTGGACAGGTGGTCTAGAATCTTGCTTCTTAGTGTTGTTTCCAGCCACCAACTGCTTATTACTTCTTAGTCCCTTCTTGACTCTGTAATTCCAACAGCTCCTCAAAAGACAGGTTGGACATGGCCTTCACAGTCCTGGGTTGCACCAGACTCCAGGCCTCTGCTGCTGCATCTGGGTCGTGGGAAGACTGGGCTATGGCCTGCGCTCATGGGCCCGGGTTGGCAGCTGCTCATGTTTGTTAGTTTTAAATAACTTGATCAATTTCTTCTTTTGTTAAGGGTCTGTGTTAATTTAAGTAGGTATTGTTTCTAGAAATTTGTCCATTTCTTTTACCTTTTCAAATTTGTTGGAATAATATTCTGTTATTATCCTTTTTATTTCAGTTGGTTTTGTTATGATGTTGCCTATTACATTCTTTATTCAATTTTCCTGACTTTCTGTAGTGATTTTTTATTTTTGGTCTTGGAAAGTTTATGATATCTCACTGACTTGCTTTTGGGGTCTATTTGGTATGGGGATGACTGAGTTTGCTGAAGGAATTTCTTTTCACCTTTCAAGATATTAGGGAAGTTTTCCACTAGCAATTCTCTATGTGTGTGTTTCCTCCTGTTCTAGAATCCCAAGCATACATAAATTATCCTTCCTGACACTGTCCCATATAATTTTTAGGCTTTCTTCATTTTTTCCTCATACAAATTGGTTGCAAGAGAAATGGCTTCCCCTGTGGGCCCAAGCGTTGTTGACCGTCCAAACCATAGGCTCTGAGGATCCGACTTTAGCTACCTAGTAGACATAGTAAACTGTCCCTCATCTGATTATTCAGTAATGCTTGTTAGTAATCTCATACATGAGCCCTGGATATCTACAGACAAATGTAAAAACCTTCCCTAAAAGCCGAGACTGTAAATTCCAAAAAGGCAAGTCCCCCACATCCAAAAAAAAAAAGCTAAAGAGGATAGAG